CGGGGCGGCGGCGTCCACTCCGTCTGCAACTCTGGCTTGCTTGCTAGGGACGAGATTGCTGCCGGCACTCGCGTCTATGCATTGGCTGGGCGTGGACTCTTCTGCTTGTCGTCCGTTGGCTTTCTGCATCGTGTTGCCATGCATTGCACGCATCAACTGGTTTCTAAGTTTGCGAGAGGTTGCCCATGCGTTCCTGACTGGTTGCACTGCTGCGATGTTGCTCTGGCAAACGCACTCCACACATACCCAACTGGCTGGTGAGAACAAAAAGATGGCTGCAATCAACATTTGCAGTCTACTTCGTGGCGAACCTGGTTGCCGCCTTGCTTTTACCCGAGCTTTGCCCACTCGACGTGCCTTCCTAACCCACCCACTGCGCAGGCGTGCACTGGCTAGAGCACGTTGCGCTTGGCATGCAAAGACACAGGTGAAGAGATTTACTGCAAACAGGACATCTGCTTGCTTTGTGCTGGCACACAAGCTTGCCGAGATTACAGCCATGCCCCACGTCAAGTATGTATATTTCCCAGGCACCCTTCGCGTCCAGTGTGTGTGCTTGCTGGATCGGTTGCGCGACCCCTTGCTCTGCGCAGCATGCACTGACTGTTGCTGCGCGCAGCAATGCTTCTTGACCTGGGAAGCAAGCCAGAACACCATGCTCACTGCTATGCTGTAGACAGCTACCTTGGTAGCATGCTCACGCAGTATGGCACTGGCTCTGGCATCCCACTACAAGCACAACTGCTAGTGTTCCACTCATTTTCCAATTCTACAATGCTCCTTTGTCGGGGTTTGCTCTGTGCAGTACATTTTCCCCCCTACTTCTTCTCTGTTTACGTGTATGTCTTTCTGCAGTGCTCCGGTTTTACACTTCCTACGCCTACGTCTCCTACTTCCGTTCGTGAAGGGTGTGCGTGTTACTTCTAGTCGTGAAGGGTGTCTGTGTTTACTTCTCTGTCGACTTTCTTTGCTTAGCCTAGAGCCTTGTCGCAACAGCCGCGGAGAAACTGCGTGCTCGACTTTCTTTACCAGTGGCGGTGTTTGCTGTCCCCTGTTCAAAGTTTAGCCCCCTCGGTGTGTTTGAAACACTTGCTGAAACATTCGTTGCAGCTTTTTCACAGACTACTTCAACCACCGGTTCCGAGACACTGCTTTCGGTCAACTGCCCACGCTCAACCCACTGCAACAGCCACGCCGCAACCCCAGCCCAGTGACCTTGAGTAGGTCGCCAGTTGGGGGGTCGCATTTCTAGTTGCCCACTGCCTGTCACTAAGGTGTTCCTAGGGCGCGCAATCCTTGTCGAGGCTCTTCAAAACGTCTCGGAGACCAACAAACGAGCCAGGCCACCAGTAAACCAGCCAGAGTGGCGATGGAGCACCTGTCACCAGATATCCAGAGTTGTGGAATCACTTTCCCACACCTTTAATACAACGCATTTGCAGTCAGTTCAGTTCTCTGCTCTTGCAGTCAGTTCCCTCCGGTCTCGCGTCAGCGAGGTGCGACAAACGAGGCAGGTCACCCGCCAGCGCACCTGTCATCATGTTTCAGCTGCCATGCACTCAGTTTGTAGCAATCATGCTAACTCATGCAGTGCTGCTGCAGTACGTTCAGTTCTGTGCTTTTGCAGTCCGTTCCCTCCAGTCACTCTTAAACGAGCCGTTGCACAAACAACGCCAAAGCCGACTCACGATTGGAGAAGTCACCGGGTGAAAGCTACAAAACGAAAAAAGGAGTAACAGGCTGTGGACTGAACTCAGATGAGGCTGCTGTAAGTGTGCAGCTTGGAAAATTATCTGCTTCTCTACTTCCTTCCAGGGGGGCCCTGCCAGCTTCCCCGGACAGCGTGCGGCTATGCCGCCCACCGCCGGGAACTCCCTGCTCTTCAAACTTTTTGGCTTTTCTCCAGGGGGGCCCTGCCAGCTTCCCCGGTCAGCGTGCGGCCATGCCGCCCGCCGCCGGGAACTCCCTGCCTTGACTTCAGTGCCAAACGAAAAAAATATAGATAAGTATAATATATATATATATATATATATATATCTATATCTATATCTATATCCGTTCAGTACGCTTGCAGTCAGTTTCCTCCGGTCTCTCTTAAGCGAGCTGAGACAAACTAGCCAGGCCACCCGCAAACTTGCCGGAGTCGCCCCAGAGCACCTGTCACCATGTTTCAGCAGTCACGCGGTCAGTTTTCAGCAGTCATGCTAACGCAGTGCTGTTGCAGTCGCGTCAGTTCTGTACTCTTGCAGTCAGTTCCCTCCTGTCTCTCTTAAGCGAGCTGCGACAAACTAGCCGGCCCACCCACAAACTTGCCGGGGTCGCCCCCAGAGCACCTGTCACCATGTTTCAGCAGTCACGCGATCAGTTTTCAGCAGTCATCCTAATGCAGTGCTGCTGCAGTCGCGTCAGTTCTGTACTCTGGCAGTCAGTTCCCTCCAGTCTCTCTTAAGCGAGCCGTTACTCATCGCAAACATGTCGGAGAAACGAGCACTTGCGGGCTCCAAACATGCTGGCTTACCACAAACATGCCATCGCAAACATGTCGGAGAAACGAGCCACTGCGGACTCCAAACATGCTGGCTTACCACAAACAGGCCAGGCCGCCAGCAAACGCGCCGGACTCGCCTTCGAACGCCTGTCACCACAATGCAATAAGTCTGAATGCAGCCGTCTGCAAAAAGAACACTGCCTACCTACTGCTTGGAGCCACAGGTTGCTTACAGGGATGTTCTCGATCAAACACGAACAACCGGGGCAACCAAAACCAAAAAAAAGGGGGATGGCTGGATGTTGCATGAACTCGGGCTGACGTGAGCCTGATGTAGAGCTGCAGCTTGGGAAAAATACTCCTTGCAGTAACGACTTATGAACCTCAAAGACTGCATCGGTTGTCCACGAAGAAGCCACCAATTTTACCGTCCATAAGCTATCCACAAACCAGCAACAAATAACCGATCCCTTACTTTACTCCCTCCCAAGCCCCGCCGTTCCACCCAGCACGACACCTACCTCGAGGTCGTGTTCGACTACGATGCACTGTAGCAACCGGCCACGCCGAGCCTTTCTTCATCAAGCTGCAGCCCTAAACCACCGCCGCTGCCAGCGCTGAGCGCTGCTCTGCGCTCGCTCTCGCCGTGTACGCGTCAGACAGACGCAGACATGGCCGTGGTTTCCAAATGCATTTGATCATCTCTAACCACACTAAACACTGATAACAAATAAGGCTGCAAACAGGGATGAGGCCATGTATCGTTAACAAACATGTTGGCTACCCATCACTGCCTCTCGTAACTCTGTACCCCTCCACTTGCTAACTTCTACTCATTCAACGTTGTTGCCTCGGTGAAAACACTTGAAACAACTAACCGTCTGCGGCGAACCGACTATGTGCTAGACCACTGCGATGGGTTGCGACCCAACAAGCAATAGCTGGGCCCTGATGAAGAAATTGGTTCACATCTACCTCTGGTTACAACAAAGGTTGCCAGCGTTGATGCTTGCTTCTCTCGCTTGCGCAAACTCAATGTGCAAGATGGCTCTCCCGACTTCGGTGTACGCCACGTACACCCGGGCTGTCAGCCCCCTTCGGATGAAGGATGCTGCCGGGACGCCCGAAGTCCCGGCCCCCATCTTACACAGGGGGAGGTTCAGACAACCCCCAACGCGTCAGTAACACCACACCAACAGCAACCACCAACACAACAACCACAACCACGACATACTACCCTGCCGCGATTGCGACCCAGAACATGGACATGGATGACACCCAACGCATACCTTCCACGGGTCTGCTTTGGCCGGCGCCCGGCTGTCAGGCGTAAGCCTCATAAATATATTTATACGCAATACCACACCCCCACCACACCACAGGGGGGGGATGGGAACATAGCTTCTGTATATCCATACCCATCCCTATTACTAACTACTACTAACTACTACTAACTACTACTAACTACTACTAACTACTACTAACTACTACTAACTACTACTAATTACTACTAACCCCCCCCCACCCCCCTACCCACCCACAGGGGGGGCGGGGAACATAGCTCCTGTATATCCATACCCACCTGCCGCACTACACCTGCAAATACTCATGTGGTAGTTGTTTTAAAGAAGGTTCTATATATCTGCATCGATGCACCTGCACTTAAACGCCTGCGTCAATAAGATATATTAATATTTACATACCTGCATGTACACTCCTGTGTATCTCATTTTGTAGATGCACAAATTGAAACTTGTCAAACATGAAAAGTGACGACGTTGTTGTTGTTGTTGATGATGTGGGCATGTTTGGTGAAAAGAAGAAGGTGATCATGATGAAAATGATGGTGATGATGATGGTGCTGCTGCTGATGATGATGGTGCTGTGATGACGTTGTTGTTGTGACGGTGTTGCGTTGATGGTGATGCGAGAAGATGGTGATGGGGAAAAAATATCATGACAAAATATGTTGGCAACAACTTTTTGGGAAAAACCCTTTCCTTGCCGGAATTGGTTGCGTCCTTCGTGCTGGTGTCTTGGTGGTTTGTCAGTTTTGTTTCGGTGGTTCTTGGTGTCTTGGTGGCACTTTGGTGGTGTGTCCGTAGTGTAGTGTCTTGACGGTGTCCAGTGATGTTTTGGGTGTTTCGTCCATGTTTTGGGTGTTTCCGTGGTGTCTTGGCTTCCCATGTGGTGTCTTGGTGGTATTGAAGGAATGGTATTTTCTCAACTAAGCTGGCTCACCTGTCAACGCAAAAATGGGCGTCAAAGGAAACGCGAAACTTTGCTATTGGGGTTGTATGCTGGGTTAATTGTATATTCAATATAAAGATATTCATTAGAATTGATTGGAAGAAATAATGCATATATATATAACTCTATATATATATACAACTATATATATATAACTATATATATATAACTCTCTCTCTCTATATATATAATCCTATATATATATAACTCTCTCTCTCTCTCTATAAGTCTATATATATATACATACCATTATATACTGTATATATATATATTTATATATACATACTGTATATATCTAAATGCATGTGTGTGCGTAGAAACTTAACATTTCTTTTCAATTCAGTGCATGTCGCAAATGTCCAATAATTTCCATTTTCTGCAATACCTTTCATACAAGAGCTCAATGTCGAAACATCACAAAAGATCATTAGATGATATTGGATGCGCCGTTTCCTCGCTCTGTCTACCTCAAGGCTGTTTCCCATGCCAACTCCCCCTGAGTGAATGGCAGTCTGCGCTTCTGTCAGGACTTTGGCCTCGTCAGTCGGCTCGCGCTTTAATTTCATTGCGGCACATCTGGTATTGTTTCAAAGAGAGCTGCTTCAGAAAATGCCAGCTGATGATGGAAAAAGGAAACACCTAGATAAAACAGGATAAAACTAAACAGAACGAAATAGCCTTTAATGAATACCAAATAAAGCTATTCTTTTCCCGGGCAAAAACCCTTCGTGAATTTTTGGCAACCAAGCTTGCCCCTTCTCAATTTTCGGTCTGGCTATAAGGGAACCTGCAAAATAGCTAGGTAAAACTAGATTAAGCTAGCACAAACTAGAGGCAGCTAGAAGAAATAAAATCGAAAAAGCAATGAAAAAGCTAGAAAAGGCGGTTTTGAGGAATTTCTAAATGCTTCTGAATGTGCGATTATTGAGAAGGAAAGTGGCAGGTCAGGCCGTACATGGCACTTTGCATGTGCCCTGCCTGTGGCCGGCCAGTGCTGATGTCCAAACCATCTGGCGAAACCGGAGCCCTGGCAAGCTGCTCCCAGTACAATACTGATACACTAGATACTGCAACACTTCGAAACACTATTCAACAATATTCAACATCTGAGCACTTGGGTGCTTTCACATCTAACGACGTTACGTAGTGAACAGAATTCTTGATTGGTACCCCAAGCCTCGAAGGTCCGGCACCTGGGTCTACGCACTTCTCCCTGCCCAGTCCAGCGTCGGCTGTGCGTGTTCAAGTGTGTGTGCGTGTGTGCGTCGTGCGTGTTATATATGTACATACATGCATTCATGTATTCATCTGTATATATATATATATACACATACAGATCCCCCCCCTCTCTCTGTCTCTCTTGATTTTGTTCTTCAGCACTGCCATCAAGCGGCAGTCCATGTATATCAAAAAGGTTGCAAACCACGCATCTACCCACAAACAAATAACAGCAAATAATACACGCACATGCACAAGTAGTAGACAGACAAACACATGCATAAACAGCCAAAGTAACTAATCCATGAATCAGCTCTTGCATGAACAAATAATCATAAATTTGTCTGTGTCTGTCTGTCTAACGTTCTACCTGTCTACCTGTTGAAGTATCTTCATGTATCTTTTATCAATCTACCTATCTATCATCTATCTATCATGTATCCAATTCTATCCATCTACCTATCTACCTACCTATCTATCTGTCTATCTACCACCATCTATCCACCACCATCTATTTACCACTACCCATCTACCACAATCTATCTACAGTACCTCTATCTCTACCACCGCTTATCTACCACTATCTATCTGTCTATCTGTGTCTGTGTGTCTGTCCACCCCTTCCTTCTACCTATCTATATAATCTAAACCAAATGCCTCTTACCAACCAATGATATGCCACTCAACCCACTCACACATTCAAATTGTCAAGGCCAACTGAAGGCTATATCAAGTGGCCTCAGAAGAGCAAGGCGCTCCTGCAAATGATTTGAATGCAATCTGGAAACTTCGAAAGAGTCGATCCAGAAACATCAATAATCTGAGGCTCGGGCTAGATGTGTGGATTCTCCGATGCATGCTCAACGCTTTATCAGGAAATGGTATGCTGAGTAGGGTGGCAAACAAAAAGCAACCACACGATCAAGGGTTCAAAAGAGAGAGCTTCAAAACTTAATACCGAGGCTATGCGATATCTGCACCGACACCGTCAGTGCTTCAACTGTCTTGGAAGCCAAGAGCTGGCCCTGCACACTCAGATCCTGGATCGTATCAAATACATTGCAGTTGGCTGCATAGCCTCGCAGAACCAATCAAACATAATCAAGCCACGTCAAAGCCAATCTTTGAAGACTGCCATGCCAAGCGCTAGCAAACTCCGACACGCACGCACACACACACACAAAACTGAGCCTTGCGTTGAGCCTCATTGGCAAAGCATGCTGCGAATGGTCATGGTTGGGGGGTGCCAGAATAGATCTATCTTACAATCAGGACCACTGGACATGACTGGACAGAATGCCGCTAGGACGCATGATGCCACGCTTCCAACCTCGGGAATATCCCGACAATTCGGAACACTTGAACTGTAACTAGCCAAAACATTCCAAAACCATAGACTTGAACCAAGCATGTTTCAGAAACGTATCAATGCAGCCTCTGCAGTAGTTTGGGTCTCATCGACCTGCAAATTTGCTTTGCCATGCTTTGCAATGTGACTGGTGTTCAATGCACTCTGTTTCGCGTGATGCCCGGGCTAACTGGGGGTCGCTCAGAGCGGTGAGATGCCAAAAAATGCATGCCAGCACCTTATATCTGGATGGTTGAACCATCGCGTCCCCAAATCCGCAAGTACACGCGAAGCACTCCTCCTTTTGAGCACTTGTTGTGTATCTTGTGATTCTTGTGTTGAGTTGCACAAGAGTCAACCAACTAAGCCAAGGGCTGTGGACAGAGCCATTGCTGAGATCCAGTTTGCCGGGACCAAGACCTTTCGATCTGGCAATGGGCAAACTTCCCTTTGTACACTGAACTTACGGAAACATCAATGAACAACAAACGCACCAAAACATCCAAGGACAAACGTATTTTGTGCTGCTTTTGACATGCACCCAGAGTATCTTCTCATGTCTTCCCAAAGGGAAACAACCAATCTTGATCTACTTGCCAACCTTGGCCAAGGCTGGAGTTCAAGAATGCAGCCTTGGTCATTGGCACTACGAGAGAAGAACAAAGCATCCCTATTATACAAGTTGGTCCTGGTCAATGTGGTAACACACCAATAGGTTCGGTCCAAGCGCTGGACTGTAGCCGAGGCTGAGTTGCCTCTGCAAGGGGAACATCATAAATCCTAAGGCCTCTCAACAATACTTGGTTTCATGACTGGACATCTTCAAATCACAAATTGCCTCCGCTGATTGCAGAAGCCGGCTCCTGGAAACGTGGGTTTTCGGGGGTCGCTCGGGGGTCGCTCGTGGGTCGCTCGGGGTGTCCCACCAACCAAATGTCACCTCATGCCCTTCAAAAAGTGCAAACGGAACAAAGTGAAGCAGCATGGCCACTGCAAAAGTGAGTGAGTATTCTTGAACACAAATTTGCATGCGTCCCATAGAATGAATCATAGAAAATAAACATCATCCCAGCCAGCTTCGCGAATTGCAAGCATTATTCATCATGCAGTTGTGCACAACCAATATGGCTCCTTCTACGTACATTGAAGCTTTTACAGTAATGTAGGGATGAGGAATGACCATAATAAAACATCAACCGTATCAGTCCAACAGAAAGTTGGCAAAGCCCCTTGAAGTCTGCTGGGCAAGCAAAGAATGGCAGTTTATATCGGCTCATATATCAATTTTCACATATCCTGGAATCGGAAACATGTCCATACAGAAGCATGCCTCTATGACAAACCGTTTACATCCTTTTGCATTCCCAAAGTGCAAGTTAACTGAACGACACTAAACCAAAATGCTGATAAACTCTGTCTCTCTCCATCACTCTGGTTGAGGATATTTCAAGGCTGTCTCGTGTTTTGGACACATACTAAATCATACTAACGGCTGCGTGCTTCCGGCTGTCCTCTTTTCCAGTTCCATTGGAACCACGAGCTCCGGCCACACCTCCAGATCCTCCAGATCCTCCAGCATCACCTCGGGCCGTGTGCGAAAAGAGTTGACGTGAGCCTTGAACTGCTTGAACTGCTTGAACTCACACCGAGGCGCCTATGGCCTTCCGCTGGTTGGCCTTGGCAACCGTGAGCAATCGTGAGCCATCGTGAACATCTAAAGATGAAACGTCTGAAACGGGGTAACAAAAGGTCAAAGTATGCAGTTCAGTCAGAAGTCGCAAATGTCTGAAGCATGGCCTCGTTAATGAGGTGCTCCACACGCTGGCGCCTAAATGAAACAAAGCTTTAAGCGTGAAGAACTTGTGTCGCAGCCGTCGTTGAGTCATGGCATGTCATGGCTAATCATGGCTGTCATCGCTACAACTTGTCATACGTTGCTCTTTCAATAGCCCTTCCTCACCAGTGCGAGACTTGGGTTGGCCGGCTCGGCAGCAAGGGCCGCAGTGTCCCCCTCCAGCTGCCGGACCTCGTCCTTGGGACCCAGCAATCTGAGGTAAACACGGACAGAATACACACATGCTACCGATTCATACAAAGACAAATAGTATCAAATAATATCGAATAGATTCCAATAGTTCATTTATTTCATGGCTGTACAATCAGCATTTTTATTCTTGCTACGCACCGACATGCTGAGGCTGGATCTTGCGTTTGAGCGATTTCAGCTTGTATTTCTTGCAGGTGGCCTAGGGTTCTGATATCAGGCCCACGCTTTGCGCGGAAGAGGGGGCCAACGCTCTAGAACTGGCTTTGGGAATCTTTGCTGCACATCTAAAGCCATCTGTTCATCCAGTACTCTCACGTCTCAATCTCGTCAGCAACTGTCCAAGCAAACAGCAGGCGGATTTTTTTCGATGCGACTGCGACTTTGTGGGCTATCCTCTGTATACCATTGCCACACAATCACGAAACATTCATTCAGCCATGCCAGTTACCCTAGCCTCAACCGCATCACAGGAACATTGGTCCCGCAACTTGAGCGAACCAAAAAGAACGTGGAACCCCTCAAGCAGTGGAGAGATCTGGCCTGAAGCAGCCTCTTCGTACCCGACAAGTCGACAAGCTTGTTCATCCTGAATGCCTTTTGAAACAAATTGATAATTTTATGCGGTGTGCCATGTGGATGTACGCTATGAGTTGAATATCGGGAATTTGCGAAGGCCAGGCCGCTGCATGACTTCTTAAAGATTTACTCCCCTGTCCTTGCGTCAACAACCATGTCCAACAAATGGGACAAGACTAAGGTCTTGCAACGCATCTGTATGAACTTAGCCCATTGCATCAAACATGTTAAACAAGCACTATCAAATGACAAAGATCATTACCTCCATCAGGGGGTCGCTTTGTAAGTGACATGCCATGATATAGACTTGCAGCACAGCTTGCTTTTGAGCTTCGTGCAAACCACAACACAGCTTAAATTGATTCACACTGAATGAAACATATAGCTCATCACAACTCCAGGGCACAGAGCAGCAACTGACCTTGCACATTTGATTCGCCGCAAACTGCAATTACACAAACAAGGCGTTCTGAATTGCGACCATGCACATGGCAAAACCCCATTGAAGGCAGTGTAGTCAATGCATGTTCTGGACCTTACCTAGGCAAAGGTGAACCATGGTGAACCCCAAATCGCCGAGCTCTATGTTTTCTTAGCAGGCCTCGGATCCCTTGGTCTAGCATTGAAGACTTGGATGCTGTAGAATTCATCCTGAGATGTTTCAGCAAAGGCAAGTGCTTCAGGCTGCGCGGTGACTCTGGATGAGTCTTGAAGCTGCAAGATGCTGCAAAACAACTTCCTGTGCCTTCGTCATCCCTCGTCTATTACCCAGATCTTCCAGGTTGCGCCGAACCTGTGATTGCCAAGCAACACCTCCGGAACCATAAAGGTCTGATCATTGGACCGTTGCAGCACTCGAGTGGCCTCAGAGTCCTGGAAGCATGAAACACGCAAACATACATTAGGATATATTAGGATATATAAATATGGATATATTAGGTACGAGTATGTAATCATGTAATTCAATGTAATATTCGCTAGCAACAAGTCTGACAAGCAATTCGGAACAACTGTGAACTTAGTCTATAATCAGCTCCTGAATTGAAGTGCACCCTGGACTTCACACAAAGAACTCCTGAGTACCAATGTTGGTCTGGATCTCTGCATTGACGCCAGCGATATACAATCTAGCATTTTGAAGCGAGCCGAACTGTTCCTGCCACAGCTAATGCAATCTAAAACATCAGCTGAGTCAATAGCTGGCATTGTTTCTTCTTGAAACTTGTTCGAAACTGAGCATGGCATGTGGTGCGTGTGAAAGTGGTAACAAACCGCACAAAAGGCCATGGATATCTGCCCTCCACGCACCTCCTGATCTGCCATGTGCATCATCCAGCGTAAATGTCTCAATTCGGCAGGGCCAATCAAGAACAAGTGGCCATCCACAACCGCATAGACTTCCACCTGAAACAAAAAAACGCACCGAACCCGGTAAGACAACAACTTGCCACAAACTCTAAGCGGCACAGAACATTGACAAAGACAACAACTCTCTGATCATCTTTGATCTGATGCCTGCAAAGCAAGAGTTTATGTGGCCAACCGTGGCTGACAAATGCCACATTAGACATTGACCAGGAAGTATGCGCTTCCTAAAAACCATCAAGATGTGCATATTATTATTATTATTATACATTATTATATACTGTACCAACATGTGTGGCAGAATAGATGAACGTTTGCACAGAGTCTCTGTAGGGAGGCTTTGCTGTGGGGCTTTGAAGCCTGCTTACTCATTTCCTTTCAGCTGGAGTCTGGCACCTCTCGCATTGACCCGCAGCTGTCCCAGTCATGCAAGGTGCTTCTGGCTGCATCATCCTTGCACAAGGCAGCTATGCTAGAGCAAGCAGCATGAAGAAGGTATGCACAGTTCGCGCAGAATGGAATCAAATAATTCGCATTGCTATCTGTTGGTTTCAGCTTTCAGAGTTGCCGGATGTTGTCGTCCTATGAGTATTGGATCCACTCCAGTTGAATAGATTATCATGATTGATCATGGTCCATCATTGTTATTAAGAAGGCCAAACAGCATGGGCACTAATCAATGTGCTTCTGAACACTCCTCCAACTTCTTGCTGTGCATCACTATTGTGTGCAAGGTGCTGTACGCATGTTTTTCTAGCACAGAGATGTACAAAGTGGAGTTTTGGTTTTGCCGGAGTGGAGTTGAATGCTGGTAATGGTAATAGTCTTGCAGGAGCAGGGCCGGGTCCTGGTTGCAGTTGCTCATTTCCACATCTGGCCGCTCAGCAAGAACCTGCGCTTTAGGCTCAAATCGCGTGAGTGCAACTTTGACTGTTTGCAAATGTCTTCTTTGTGGACAAGAAATTGGCCTTTCGTGCGTCAGAAACTCTGAACATGTGTCAAATATTAAAAATTCATATTTGAACACATTCACATTATACATCATTATACATCTATGACTTATGAGGTAGAGTTGATAGCAATTCACGTTTGACCTCATTCCCTGATGCAATGAATGTGCCAGGTGCCCCACGAACCCCATACTGTAACCCAACCGAGTGGCAGAAGACTCCAGGAACGAAGCTGCTCGATCTACATCTTGGATCACGGCCTCCAGCTCTGAACCTTCGATCCTCAAAAGGTCCTGGATACCGAATCGTTTCCGAAGCGATTTCATCGCATGACATGATTGACATTGACATTGACTGACATGAGAGTAAGAACAAGTGAGGACGAAATAGGAGGAACATGGAGGAACTTGTTGTATTGATCCTACTACCTTCATATCAGCCAGCCGATGCAACCTACGTGCAGAACGATTGCAAACGCTTTTGTGTAAGCCTTTTCCTTTGCTGCCGACGTGGCATCTGGCTGAAGCTCCATTGTCACTCTTGCTGCCTGCATGTCTGTGGAAAACTAAATGGAGTGCGCCAGATCGTTTGTGTGACGACTCCGTCAATTCCCTTCGATTCCGAAATTCGCGGAATGATGTGGAATGCCTCACTTAGTCACTTGAGTGTTTATGACAGTGCCTCAGTGTCCTTTCTGGCTCACTGATCCCATATAGTGTAACGTGTGTACAGTGCGACTTAGCAATTTTTGCAGCAAATCCAATGGTCAAAATTATCAATGCGCACAAGTCTCAAGACCTGCAGTTCTGAATCCTTGATAGTTTAACAATTTAACAGGTCCCGTCAGCTGGAGATTCTTGAGATTTCTTGAGCCTCCTCACAAAGGGCGCGGCCACGCTTCTTGCGGGGATCAGAAGCCACCGCACCTACAAGCCGCAGCTCACGTATGCCCAAACGAGCGCGGGTACGTGAAAACCTCAGTGACGAAGAACAAACTCAAATAATCTCAGATAATATTAAACATATTGATACTGAGATATACTGTAACTATAACGTATTACTCAGGTTTGCTCGGTAAGTTTTTAGTAACATTTGCTAACATATAACCTATATATATACTAAGTAAATTAGAATATACATGAATATATATATATATAATATATATATAATGTCTGCTAATATGTGCGACCACATCCTCATTGTGCTCAGGCATGACAGGATTGATTTGCTCAGTTGTAGCTGAGCAGCTCTGGGCCACATAGCACTCTCAACTTGCGGCAAACCTTGAAACATCAGCAAGATTCAACATTTTCAAATTGTGTAAACATCCTGAATCTTGAGCTCTTGCGAACATATGGGTATGGGGCAAAATTGGGTACCCCGACAATCAAATGGTTAATACTAAACATGAACGAACATCTGTGGTCCCATAGGGCTTAACTTTTGACCAATCCCCATATGCGGAAATGCACTTGCATGTTTGATGATGTTAGACTATCTCATGATATCTCACCACAGTATCTCCCCGAAGACTGTCTTCAATGGGCTGAGTTGGAAGGTCTGGCGGGCAGGGTCCGGTCGCTGCGTCTCTTCCGGTCAAGAAACTCTACGAAACTGCGGAGCATCCGAGATCGGCAGCACAGCTACACACCGCAAAGCAACCTCGACCCACCAGCCGTTCACATAATGCTGCGACATCACTGCTGACATCTGCCAAGGATCAATGTGCACACAATGATTGGTGATGATTGGTGGTGATTGGTGGCTTTCCTGCAGCCAAAGCGGCATCCAAGGGTAAATCCTCAAGGCTACGACTGCGCCCAGCAACCATTGAGACGGAACAGGGCTGGCCGCTGCAAACACGGTAATTACATGTAATTACTTAGACGTGGGACATCGTGGGACGTAGACTCTTGGACTTCTGTGAAGTTCAAGGCATCATCCCAGACCCCAGCTCCACTGTACTGCTGCCGGGGCCAAGGCCTACTTTAATGTCTAGTGGAGCTTTAATGAAACTTTAATGTTTAATGTCTAGTGATGACTCGTGTTGAAACCTGTCCATGTGATTCTCCCAATCCTCTGGGTGCCCTTTGAGCTTGAGCCGAAATAAAAAAGCTGTTGGGCAACTTGCAAACGCAAGCCCCCACTGAGCAGTTAATTCCCACAACTATATTTGCAACTGTGCCCTTTGCAACTTCCTCCTTTCTCTACAGGGCTCCAGACGTTGTACTGCTGACCTTGCCAGCGGCCGCAGATGGCCACAGTGTCTAATTTAGCAATTTTGCATTGCCAGCATAATGCATACAATGCTTTCACGAAGGCTTGCCAAAATTTGCCAAACATGCTTTTAACGTTTGTTCCACTTGTTCCACGGCCTTCCGCTTGTGAGGCTGGGCGTATTTTGCGTCACCTCCAGTCAAAATAAAACATGCCCTGCCACCACACGTTGAGGGTTAGACTCGGTATAGACTCGGTTACACATGTTACAGCCTGACCGAGTTCTTTCTGCAGCTCTTCGCCTTGGCAACTTTAATCCGATGGATTGACTTTCCACACAGGTTTCCATAGATTCATAAATCTCCACATAATTTCATTATCACATCATGATTTTCATAAAACATAACATATAATTTCATAATCATTCATACTGCCTTGACCGAATCTTGACCGGGCTTGCAGCGGGATTCTTCCGCTCTTTCCAGCGAAGTTCTTGCCTCGTCAATCATCTCCTGCCAGCGAGGGCCATGGCGGTCAAGGAAGAGGGATAATATCAAATGCCATCACGCCAATATCCCGCCTGTTTGATCATAAAACAGTACAAAACACACCAACATCTTACCATATCAGGACCATTTCAACACCATATCATCTCGGTGCAGCTGTGATATGCTAATTGAGACCAGCTCCTGTAGCACACGGCATCGATGCTCTTCCATGGCGATTACAGATCTGGCTCAAAGCGAGGACAACATTGACTGTCTTCTGATGATTTCTGGTGTCGACGTGCCACAATGTGTGCAGCAAAACGTAAGACTTATGTAGACTTTTCATGCACTACTCAGAATTATAGGCAACTCATCGTTGACCCCATCATTCTTAACGATCACAATGTTTCAACATGTTTCAACTCCCTTCTTTGCTGCCTTGCCTCAATGTGATAGGGCCCTGATCCGAGTCCTCAGGAAGAGGTTCTTGAACGGCATTGTGCAATCGCAGCAAAAATCCTTCCACCAAGTAACACAGCAAAAATAGTCAGTCTAGGATTGCGACAAGATTTCCATAGTTTGCTTGCTGCCTTCCATGCATGGATGAGCAGGATCGAATCCCTGGGTGACAGTGCAAGCAACTATGACCAGTAGGACCGCACAAGGCGGTGGCGGAAGTTTCAAAGAGAGGAAACCTATAGGAGGGGTGAGTTGGTGTGACTCTGACTCATGGATGGCAGAGCGACCTGATGGACCGAAAAGTGGTTCAAACTCTGAGTCTCTCTCTCTCTCTCTGTGTATCGATTGATCTATCCATCCGTCTATCTGTCTATCTGTCTATCTGTCTGCCTATCTATTTATCTATCTGTGTATCTATATATCTATGCATCAATCTATGCATCTCTCTATGCATCTCTCTATGTATCTATCTATGTATCTCTTTATGTATCTATCTATGTATCTAACTATGTATCTATCTATGTATCTATCTATGTATCTATGTATCTAACTATGCATGTATCTATGTATCTGTCTATGTATGTATCTATCGATCTATCTACCTATCTATGCATCTACCTATGTATCTATGTATCTACCTATCCATGTCCATGTATGTATCTATCTATGCATCTATCTGTGTATCTATCTGTGTATCTGTGTATCTGTGTATCTGTGTATCTGTGTATCTATGTATCTATCTATCTATCTATCAATCTATCTATCTATCTATCTACCTATCCATCTGATTATCTGATTATCTGACTATCTGATTAATTATCCATCTTTCTGTCTGTGTACCTATCCATTATCTATCTATCTGTCTATCTGCCTATCTGTCTATATATCTGTCTGGTCTGACTATCTATCTGTCTGTGTGTCTATCTATCTGCCTTCTGCCTATCTATCTGTCTATGTCTCTGTCTATCATCTACTGTATCTATCTGTCTATCATCTACTGTATCTATCTGACTATCTGTCTGGTCTGACTATCTATCTGTCTGTGTGTCTATCTATCTGCCTTCTGCCTATCTATCTGTCTATGTCTCTGTCTATCATCTACTGTATCTATCTGTCTATCATCTACTGTATCTATCTGACTATCTGTCTGTCTATCTGTCTATCTATCAGTCTATCTATCTGTCTATCTATCTATCTATCTGTCTATCTATCTGTCTATCTATCTGTCTATCTATCTGTCTATCTATCTGTCTATCTATCTGTCTATCTATCTGTCTATCTATCTGTCTATCTATCTGTCTATCTATCTGTCTATCTATCTGCCTATCTATCTGTCTATCTATCTATCTATCTATCTGCCTATCTATCTGTCTATCTATCTGTCTATCTATCTGTATTTATCTATATCTATATCTATCTATATCTATCTGTATTTATCTATCTATCTATCGATCTGTCTATCGATCTGCCCATCTATCAATCTATCCGTCTGAAAGGATGCTACGCTTCATTCAAAAGTGGACGTTGACGTTGACGTTGAATCCAAAAGTGCTCCGACCATGAAGTGCCTTGACCATCCTTGACCATTTTGCTTCCAAAATGTGCTTCGCGCCACAACGGCGTGCATTTCTTGAACATCTCAACTTCTAAAAGTGCTCCCAACATGAGGTGCTTTTAGCATTTAATTACAGTAGACTTTAGAATCTGCTTCGCGCCACAACGGCGTGCAATTTTTAATGTCTCATCTCACCTGATGGCTCTGCACCCGCCGCTTTAGCGAGCCTACTTTTCGACCCTCCAGAGCCACAAAACATCGTAAAAACACAGTGTTTCGCGACTTTTCTACCTTTTCGCGCACCTTGATCTTCTTTCTATTGACTCTTTCTCTTCTGTCTCTTGCTCTTCTGACTCTTCTCTTCTCTGACTGCTCTCACCACTGTTGCTGCATCCGTCCATAAGTCGGAAGTTTCACTTCTAAACTTCCTTCGATGAGGGCAAAGCAGTAGCAGTCGCATAACATCTCTAGAAAATATGTCAAGAATTCACCTGCCCAGCTCACTTACAACTTAAATACTTAAGCAAGTTTCAAAGTGACGGAATCCTTGCAGAGTAGCCTTGCATTCTGATGTGTTTTCCCGTGCCTCAATTTTTCTAAACCCGCGCATACCCGGTCCACTGCGAAGTCCTGGACCGAAGGAGCTCCAAATTCAGAGCAAGTCACATCTACAGCTGGCTTTTACGGCTCATGATACCATTGACATCCATTGACCAATATATAGTAGTCCTGCTCACACAATCTCACATCAGTCCTCCACGGAACTGATACCTCGTTGCCTTTTAGCAACAAGATCATCTACCTGCAAATCGAAACAGTTGGCACTGGTTGTGCTGAGACGAATGAAGGGACTGCGCTGAAGTCAATCTACATCCATCATGTCTGTGATCCGTAATATCATGTAACATCCAATCAAGTAATCAAACATAATCAAACCCAATCTGATGAAACTACGAAGGATCGACCAACAGAAACGTTCAAATACTAAACAAGACCAATCAAAAGCAGTTTGTTTGCTTGCATTCCCGAAAGTTGAAATTTAGAAGTCTGCAGTGTCGTGCAGTGCCTCCGCAGTAACTCTCTCCCAAAGCAATGACAATGATTCGTCATGACCTTGTGGTTTGCTGTATCAAGAAGACTGTTGCCAGTTTCCAACAAGAGTGAGCTCCCGGCCAGCCATGTGAGCGTCAGTTGCTTCACTTTGGTGATTCTGGATGTAAACAGTTACAAAAGATTAGCCTGATACAGGATGCCGTTCCAAATGTTCAATGCCTTTCACTGTGCTTCATGTCGTCTCGTCTAGAGGGAAACTAGCGGGAAGATTGAAAGAGACCTCAGAATGACATTGGGATGTCGATTAAAATCAAATCTTTGCAACCATTTTTGTTGTGTGCAGCGCACAAGGGGCTGTTTGCTTGCGACATCCTGGGGTTGGATGGTTGACTAGGCCTGACGTAGAACATGACTTAACATAACACTTGCATACACTTGCCATCTCTTCTACGCGTCAGCCCCTGTGGCTGCTTGGGCCTGTAGGCCAATGCTTGGTACTGCATCTGCAAATGAATGCTCCATGCTCGTCTCCTATGAGGTCATCTGCCAATTGATCTGGTCTCAGTAACTGGCCTACACATGCCTACACTACAAATGTCTACAGTCTGCTTCACAGGTGGGGATACTGTATATATATAAATAGTAATATATATATATATAAATAGTAATATATATATATATAGAGTCGGATCTAGGTTTGAAAAGGTTTGAAGACATAATGAGGACGTGCCAGGCGACCGCATCATTTTAAGCGATGCCTTTGCCACAGCTAATCCAGCTCCGCCAAATGCATTGCTGGAGTCGAGTCTCGTGGTGTTTCATTAACTGAACTGCAAAAAGGCCGACATCCCGTGACAATGTCAGCTCTCGACTGCGTGCAGCATGCATCAGCATGTGCAGAGAAAATGACTGTAGATCTTCAGGCTGATCCTTTTGTTGACATAGAGGCCCTCGGTATCAAACAAAATGGCAGCAAAAGGTCAGCTGAAATCCAAGCAACCATGCATTTGTTTGTAATTATTTATCATGCATGTTGACACGATGTTTCTCAACTATGGTACTGGCGTGAAATAGAAGGACAAGTCAACATCCAGACGGTTCGAGCCTCGGTGCTGTGGCATTTTCCCATGTTTTATGACACCATATCATCCATATCACATCAAGCCATTGGTGATTTCCTGTACCTCGGGCCATGCAGCATTGCTACAGCACATGCAAGGCTTGGACCCATATTTCCCGCTCCTTTGTTGACCTGCACCAGGTCTTGCTTCAATGACTTTTCAGCTCTCGGCTCTCCATTTGTTTCAGCTCTTGCTTCTGACTTCTAGTATCTTCCAGCATCTTCTAGCATTTTGCAGTCCGGAATCAGAAACAAATCAAAAACTGTCTCTTTGGAAATCCCCCCATGCAGGCAAGGAACCGACAGCGCACCCTCCACCTGTCGCAAATACTATATAATTATAAAGTGATTTCGATTCATCTGTATAAGATTCAATGGAGTTGTCCAACAGCTTCGTCGCGGCTCTGGCTGAGGCACCGCCTTCAGCTGGTAAGTCAAAGGGGTCTCCCCCACCTTTTGCTGCATGCCAGTGCGACCATCAACCTGAACCAAACAGAACCAAACTGGGATGAAAGGCAAGAAGCTGGCAGATGCATGCAGGGTGTGCCATGCCCTGCGCCTGGTAGTCCTCCACGACCAAAGTTCCATAGGGTGAGTTGGCCTGCAGAGATCTTCCAGTCCAACGTTAACAAACATGTGGAGGATTGCGGAGGCCATGACATGCCATAAATTGCCATAACTATTACTAGTATTCACTAGTCACTAACTATCACATACAAACTCTGCAGTCCTTTGGCAACGCGAAGGCAGGGATGCGGACTTTTCTGCAAGGCGTGTCAATTGCGTCAGTGTCATACAAGGCCTCAAACAACCCGCCCAACTGCGGCTCCACTCCGCTCCTTTGGAGCTGCAACTTTTTTGAGTTTGGTGGTTCCTGAACGGATGTCTGCAAACATGGCTGCCTTCCCTGCTCCTTCAGCCTTCATAGCTGGTGGCTTTGCAGGTGGACCTGCACTGCCTGGCTTCTTGGCTGGTGGCGGTGGTGGTCCTTTCCCTTTCCCTTTCCCTTTGCCTTTTCCTTTCTCTCCCTTTGCTTTAGGAGCTGGAGGAGGTGGGGATGGCTTCGCCGGCTTTGGCTTTGCTACCTCTTTGGGCGCAGGAACTGCTGAAATAGGGGGAGCTGGAAGTGCCGGGGCTGGGGCGGGCGCCTGTGGCTGTGATGTGGGTCTTGGTGGTGCTGGAGCCTGTCGTTTTGGAACCGGCCGAGGCTTGGCCATGGAAGCGCGCCTGGCCACATCTGCTGGAGCCACATCCCAAGCAGGTCGATCTCCTTCATTGGTGTCACCTTCAGTCCATTTGATGTGTGCTACATGGCCCAGATCTGGTAGGACTTCAGGCAAGTCAAAGGTGACCTCTGCTGTGGCAGGGCGTGGGCGGAAGCGCAAATCCTCGGCCGCCCGCTCTGGCTCATCTTCTTCAAGATCCACACGGTTCGTTGCATCCTGACGTTGAGAGGCACTTTTTGCAGCGCTATCTGATCGTGTCCTTGGCTTCAAGAAGGCATCCTCTTCAAGTTCAGCCAAATTGTCTACTTCGTGTCTCGCTCGGTAGGGCTGCTCTGAGGAATTCAGAAGGAAGAGTTCAGAGACTGAAGACAAACGACCAGCGACAGGCAGCAGCTTCTCGTCTCGGCTCTTGAGTGATGAGTCTGGCGTGGAGAATGCGCAATGGTGTGTCACTGAGCGCGTAACTCTTGCCAGTTCCTCTGCGGAAGTGCTTGCAGAAGGGGGCCCAGCCCCCAACTCTTCTGGAAGATTGGCAGACTGACGCACCGAGAGAAGGACATCTTCACTGACCACCAAGTGAGCTGTCCGCAGTTGAGGCTTCCCTCGACCGCAGAAGGTTCGTGCACTTTCCACCTTCAGAGCAGCAGTGCTTCCACGAGCAGCTTCGACGCGGGCAGCAGCTGCAGCCAGTCGATCCTCCAACTGCAGTATCTTGCCATCAGCCTGGCTGATTGCTGCCTCCAACCTCTGAAAGATCTCCCTGGATTTCTCGTTCAAGTTCTGCACCGAAGACAGCACATCATGCATCATCCTTCGAACTTTGGTCTACATCACTTTGCAGACTTCCCTCGAGCCAAATCTTCGAGCAATGGCTCTGGTGAAGCAAAGTGTCAGAGGGTGCAATACGATTCTGGTCAGAACAATTGTTGAGGCCATCTCAGTGATGAGCTGAAATTATCTGCGAATTACTATTCAAATGTCTTGACCCCCATCATCTGATCCATTTCATTTCTCCCAATTGCAATTTGATGCCACGTCGCACCTTCAGCTTGGCATTCAGAGTGACTTGCGGTGACACCTACATGTGTTTCATGACTTTTGATGATTTAGGTAAATATACATACATATGTATATATATATACATGTATACTTGTATACAATGTTAGACACACACATGCATACGTACGTACGTAGCATAACATAAAATAACATAACTACATGACATAACATTCCATCCCATCCCATCCCATCCCATTCCATCACGGACATACATACACATACACACATATCTGTGTACGTATGACTGGAATCACTTGCACGGAACACTTTTCAAAACACGGCGCAATGAAAGCAGCACGAGTGATCCCAGCATACAGTACCTTGCCTCCAACACAGCTCCTCGTTTCTTGGCTTGAGCCTCAAGTGATGCATGGTCTTGCTATGTCTTGCTTCCTTGCTCTGATTCGCGCTGTCAGTGCATCCTTTGGCTCTCTGAGCCAAGGCGAATGCTCCGAAAGTTGGAACTCTATAGTGGCATAATTATGTATACACGCACAAATATATATTTATATTATATAACGTAACATAAAATTAATATAATATACAGTAATAGCTGGATGGAGGAAGGCTCCGTCTAGACCTGAATCTCACCAAACCCACTGTTTTGTGCCAAGAAGCTGAAATTATGCCGCCTGGTGGTGTGCCTCCGGGCTTGTCATCATGCAAGTGATTGGAATGGCACGTTGGGCCATCACTCTCTTCTGTACCAGCATCTTCTACCATAGTGTTGGAGCCTGCCCATGGGTTAAAGACGACCCAAGACAGCTCCGGCATGTCCACCCAGAACTCCTGCCACAAAAGCCAGGCCCATTCAATGCGATTCGTTGCGATTCATTTGTGGATCTTTTGAGCATTGCATAGCATTGCTTCATCTTGCTTTGCATCTTGCTTTGCATCTTGTCATCTTCTGAATCTTCTGCCTCGTAAGGCTTGAAGGGGGCCAGGCCAGGTTCTGCAGGAGGTGGTGGCCTTGACTACTGGCATTGCTCAGCACATTGGAATAGGTTGGATGCCAAACCATGCCGAGATTAAAGCTGCTAAGGATATCCAAGGCTTCCGCGAGCAGTTCGTAGTGAGCCTCACGCGGATCCGTGGCACCTGCAAGCTATACCTCAACTCGATCGCGGGACAATTTGTGGACTGAACATTCCGGTAACGAAATGCTGCTGTCAATTCTCGTTGGCACATATTACACATGTTGAAATTCTTTGCCAGTGTGACAACTTTGCTCCAGGCGTCCCGTCCTGTTTGGACTCCAAGCACACTCCAATTAACATCAATTAACAAGAATCGCACACTTCGCACATCACAACTGCTTAGGATCTCTGACTCTCGAGATCTGAGCCCGTACAGTCCTGTTCTCTACGAAATACAGGCTGGATTTCTGGGGAGACCTGACCAGGTTGATGCAATGATATGCAGCATATGCAATGCTGATTTAAATTGAAAGGCCGGCCATACTGCAATTAATGGCACGCTAAGTCTTGCCAACGGTGTGGATGAGTGGGAGTGAAATACACTGTTCTGCCTCAACAAAGGTGTCGATCGTGGGTCCTTGCATGCCTGGCATTGCAAAACCTGCCAGGGACGTTGCGCACTGAATTCTTGAAGTCTAACATGCAGTTTCATCCCAAATGTATAGCCAAGACTCAAAAGGTGAAAATGATGAAAGTGTCGTGCGACTGAAGAGCATGCCAGAGCAAATCCCACGATCCCTCTTTTGACACGCCTGTTTGAGCCATGCCTGCACCACCACATCCCTGCGGGTGAGAAAACTATAGAAAACTCGCAATGCATACAATAAGTAGAAACATCGTCTTGCCAACCTCTTGGTGATTAGCAGAAATATGATGCCACTTCAGAATTTCACCATATCCAGGTCAAGTACAAACATCACTTCATAGGCTAGCCGACCAAAGTCTCCATACTCCGTTTGCCTGCGTGTAGGGAGGCGGGCCAGGTGGGCATCCGCCGGGCATGCCCTGTCGGGTGGACATTGGCTGTGCTAGGCTTTTCTGCGGTCGCACGACCTCCTACTCACTGACACACGGCGTGTAGATAATAAAAAACCTGCCTGGCCCATTCCTGGCTGCACGGGTGGCATGCCACCAGGTCCCATGCCAGGGCCACCCATGCCAGGGCCACCCATGCCAGGACCACACATGCCAGGACCCCCGCAGCCCATGGAAGGTCCACAGGGGGCCATGCCAGGGCCAGCAGGGCCCACGCTACAGCCACCAGGACCCATCCCAGGGCCCATGCCAGGCCCCTGACAAGTGGTTTACGCTTGAGTGCTTTAAGGAAATGTGGCACTGTCAGTTCTCCGGTCTGCCTGCATGTATGTTTGCGTCGGCGGGCCGCCGGGCATCCCCTGAGTAGCGCTAAACAATTGCACAAAATCCACATCAAAGATCATCAAAGGCCAAAGGTGCAGAAGAACCTTCCACTTCAAAGCAAGCTCTTCGAACATGTCTGAATAAAACCAGACAGCCTGCGGTGCACCCATGCCAGCCATGTAGCCTGGCCTTAGATGCAACATCAATCTGCACTGCAGCTGTGCAGCCTTTGTGGCAGAGTTAGAACATGTTCATCCTCATGCAAAGCTCACTGCTCAAGGTGCCTGGTGAGTCTCACTTGATGTGGTGACTCTGTGTCTCTTCAACAAGTGAGGCTTCAGCGGTGGACCACCTGGGCCACCTTTGCCACCATAGAAGGGTTGTGCCATTGCGCCTGTCATTGCATCGCACAACCTCTCGCATTATGCTCAAACTTTGGTCTCACAATGTCTCGCATTAACATCATTCAAGTCGCCAAAGGCATCCAAAGCTGTGCAAGCAACATCATCCGTGGATTTTGCTGGGCCTGTGCTGGCAAAGGCCAGCAAGTCTACTCTACTCCCTACCCTTGGCTGGGCACAAATGGCAAAAACATGCAAGAACACACATACCTCTTCCATGCTCTTCTCACCTTACAGCGTGAGACGTAAGCCAGACTGGAGGCTGCATGTCGGGTTGACATCGCACAAAGCACTTTTGCTTTCTTGCCCTTCTGTCCACTGAAGTGAAACTTTTTGGACACGGCATGGTCTGAAACGGCACATGGGGGCCATTCAATTGCCAAATTTGGAGTACAGTCGAGTGGGACACAAATGACACAATGTGATGCATACACTTCCTCCTTGGCATCTCCCAGAGCAGTTTCCAGGCAGCATCTGCTCGGCTGAAGGGCTATCGAACCTTAGCAGAGGGAGGTGCAAATCGGTGCTCTCATTCTCTTCCTGCAACTCTGCAGTCACAAACCAACGAAAATTGTGCCTTCCAAGAAGTTATTCTGAAAAAAAACTGCTGAGATCCTTGCAAGTTTTCCCTCAGATTTGGACCTGTGTCTGCTCAAATCTTCTCAGAAAGGAGATTCAAAGAATTCTCGTCCAACTTCTGAATATCTGAACCATGCAGCATGCATCACAATGCTGCAACTGGAAGATGTGTAAGGATATGTAAGGAAGCATGGACATCGATGACATCAGTTTCCCCAACATGGCCTCGCTTTTCGCAAGCCACTTCCAGCCGCACCGACCGGACCAGGACTCAGAATGTTATGCATGTTGATACACTCTTGTTTTGACCGTTTTTTGACCAACGCCGTGCGGGGAAAAAACGAACAAATCATTTCTATTCATTTCTGTTATTTCTGGGCCACTCTAGAACCAGGTACGAGTAGAGGATGACTCAGCCCTGAGAACTCGGCAAGAATCCAATTGGGCAGAGTATCTCATGAACTGACCTTCTCTGGGCACGCTCTTGAAGCCGGCTGCATTGTCCAAGGCAAGTATTGAATCAAGTTGTCAAATGCAGTTAGGTCAGTCAGTGAGATGGTCATAATTTATTTATATATACATATATATTAATATATAATTAGATGGTCTGCTGTTCTGAGCCCTTGACTTGCTCGGCACCGAGCTCTTCGAGAGTTGCTTCTTCTTGGACTTTTTCTGCGTCTGGAACTCCTAACATGTTCTTGAGGCTGGGGTTAAACTTGGACAAATTTGGTTAAACAGTGCAACTTAAGCCATGCACATAAATTGATCGAAGTTGATTGCATGGATCTTTTCATTTCAACGGCACTATTAAGGTCCTGCAGAGGTTGGTCCTGCTGAGGCTGTGAGGCTTCACCTGTCGGAAAAGAACTGGGCCGACATTGGCACCACTTGGCATCTTAGAGCCCCATATATTCACGGGGTGTACACATTTCAGGCACAGGAAGGAATAGAACGCACCACATGTCTTGCTGTAAGGACTATTCTGTGACTGCCGTCCACTCCGCCATTGAAAACTCTATGATGATGCAGGATTCAAATGAGTTAAGATGAGTTAAGCCATATGAGCGATCCAGTTTGTAGCGGCCTTCAATCTCCGCCTTGGGCGGCAGCTCCGCAGGTTCTGCTGGTTGAGGCCTCGGATAATGGTGCAACATGATGCAGCTGGGGCAGGGTCCAGCTGAGAAACATCTCTGGGTGCACAGACTTCAAAAGCACACACACACACTGGATAACACGCGCGCCCGCACGCACAGGCAATAGATTGTATCATCTGTCTTATGTCCCGTCAAGGACCTGGTCGTCAGGCAAATGGTGGGGATGAACCATAGCCGAATCTGATGCCTTAAGAATCTATAACAAAGGCCATATCATTCATAGCACCTGGAGCAGTTGTTATCCAATCAAGACCCTGTCTTGCTTTCAGGGAGCTGTCGCTGCTGATCCTCTTCGTCATTGTAGTAGTGCACATGGTGGTGCACATGACGGTGAAACACACCTGCATCAAAACCAATGAGTTGCAAACAGCTGGGTCAGTTTGCTCATTCGTTCCATGCAGGAGCCTTGCACAGTTGAATTCATCCTGTTGTACTCCACTTGGGAAGGTATGGGGTACCTCAGCTGCCGCAGCGAACGGTGAAGGAGCACTTTGACTCGTTTTGGCATGTTCTGATGTCATTTCTTCTCGTCTTTTGCCCAGATGTTTGGAGAGACGGCTAGGACAAGCTCCGCAATTCATCAAAGCCGAGGTCCCGTCTTCTCCCGGCGCTTGTCACTGATGCGGTCTCTGCGGAAGCGTTGGTCCATCTTCTCGCCCTCGATCCTTGACTGCAACACACTGCACTGCAACCAATCATGGCAAACAGAGGCAGTACAACTATTTGAAAAAAAAGGACAATAAGTTAACCATGTCCGCGTGGAACAGCAAGGGCTTCATCTGTGGCTGCGGGCTTGTTCAAGGCATCCATGTCAACCAGGCCAGGACGGATGACAAATCTGGGCTTACCTCGCATCCACAACCCAGGTACTATGGGGTTCTTGGCTCAACTCTTCTGTCCCCACCTGTCCGCTCCATCGGCTCCTAAGCAGAAAAATCGTTGTGTGTTTGTGTCTTCCATCGCCAGTCGTTCAAATGTGCCAGGCCCAAGGCATAGAATGGAGCAGCTTGGCGGAACTGGGTCTGACTAAAGCCCTGGCAGAGTTCATGGTAGCCATGGCGATTCTGAAACATTCTGAAACTAATCTGAAGAGCTCTGCACAGCTTTGCTGTCAAAGGCCACTTTGTAAATGTTTGCAGCCAACTACAGCACTCAGGTGCCTGTCCCTGGTACCTTTCCTGGCCCCATGGTACCGGAGCAGTGGACCGAAGGTCCTGCCGGCGTGCATTTGCACAGAGAGAGAGAGAGAGAGATCTATATAATTATAATTATAATTATATATATATATACACAACATCACACAACTCTAAATCTCTCTCTCTCTCTCTCTCTTCTCTGAATTCAACCACTGTGAAAATAGTTGAATAAGCAGTCTACCCAGGTCTAACTTAGTGTAACCAAGGACCTTGCAAGCCCTGAGAACGGCAATGGCCGAGAAGAAGTTTCTCTTCGCATCTACTCCGATCGACGGTGACCAGCGACGGCCCTCCTCCGCAGAATGCCTTCGGCTTCCCTTGCTGAAGTGGCTGCCTAACAAACGTCTTGTCTGAATCAGCCTGATCCGCCCCTCGTTTCCACACGTTTCCACCTCCTAATTGACGTTCGACATCGTTCGACACTTTACCATGCATCAAGAGTCCTTTTCAGAACCCTGTCCTCCACTTCGATGAGTTCCAGAACCGTGTGAAAGCCTGGCAGGGTTAGCGTCGTTCACAAGAGTTAATACGCAATTGGGCTCATAGATGCAAACCTTTCCCCAGGGACCACAAGGCCACAAGGGACCTAAGAACGGGAAACAACTTATCTTCAAAATATTCAAAATTGAGATTGTGATAGATTCCATATGATCCTATATGATTCTATTAGATTGCGATAGATTGTGAAGAGAAATCCGCAAAGGGCATGGAACCTGGCATAGTGCTCCAGGCTGGCAGCAGCAGCAGACAAAACCTTCCCACACCGGTGCTATGACTGTTTTTCAAGTCTTTTCAGCACAGCAACCTTCACAATTCATCACAATTCATCACAATTGATCACAATTCATCACGATTCATCACAATCACAATTCATCACAATTCTGCTTTTGCTCTGCTTGTCTTGCTTGGGTCATCTGAGCTTGAAGCCCCGTGCGCTGAGCCCTTACCTCACAGACAAGGCACATCAACTGCTCAAGAATCAGATGAGACAGCAACCAACATCGATGACAGACATCGGCAGTCACCTTCGGGGTCCTTGTGGAGCTCATTTTGCGGAGGCACCTCTCAGCAACTGACGAGCCAGGAATAGCAATTCTTCAAGCATTGCCAATATTGTGAAACAAACGAGGGTGTCAACATGTGTCAACAACATTACATTTTTTCAATTGATCTGAATTAACAAACAGAAATGCACTGTGTGATTCTATACTTCAATCCGCTGGCACAAAAGCCCAAAGCGAAAGCCGTCCGTGCCCCGATGATTCACCACCAGGGTGTCGGCTAGTGCTGTCTAATCATGTCTAATCTGTCTATCTTAAAGGGTTGGAATCGCTGCTTGCTTCCTCCATGGACGCAAATTCCTCAAGTTGGGTCAAGGAAAAGGACCCAAAAAGCAAGCCTGAGGGGAAATCCGCATGAGGGCCAGGGCCATGACACTAATTAAAGCGCTACATCCGGAGTATTCACTGATTGCTGCCCTCTCTCAAGATGTTTGGCACACGTGGGTACGTAGGTAAATAAATAGCCCGGACCAACCATGTGCAATTTCTTTTATTTCTCTCTCTGTCTCTATATCTCTCATATCTCTCATATCTCTCATATCTCTCTCTCTCTCTCTGTCTCTCTCTTTCTCTCTCTCCCCGTCTCGCCCAGCCGCACAAACACACATGTACAATGTATATATATATACATACATATGCATGCATGCATGTATGTATGTATACACAATTCCACAATATACGGTATCCATTGTAGTGTCGAGGGTGGGTGGTTGATTGACGACTGATCACCGTCATCCTCTTCCCTTCTTCCACCATTCTTAGCTTCATGCCAATCACTGGCTGCTGTGCAATCCCAAAATTGACAACGAGAAAGTCTGACCATGATCAGATCCTCCCCAGGCTCTTTAACTCGGTTAGAAGTTCGAACATGTTTTGTTGGAACACCTCCCCGTGTGTTCTGCCTCCAATGATGCCCCTGGTCGGACAGGAGATGCCTGGCAAAAGGTTTGCAGTGAAGCGTCCTTGCGCTCCAGGTTGACTTCTGTGATAATGTTTTCAGATTGATTTGTTTGTGAATGTTTGTGATTATGGTTTGTCATTGTGGCTGAGACACGTGTTTAAGATTGTTGAACCATGCCAAGCGGCTGGATCTGGAGGGTCCCACCTCAAATCATTAAAGTTGGGAATCAGTTGGGCAGTTGGGCCTGAGCCCCAAGAATCTCTGAACAAACTTTGGAATTTGGAAACTACGTCATGGGCTGAACCGTGTCCGTAGGCATGTGCCAGAAGTAGTAGGCCCTCAGTTCGACAAGCATAGCACAAGTGACTGAACCAACGGTGAACTTGGGACTGGGCTCATGCTCGTCTGACCAAACGGCCTGCAACACAAGTTTTCGGGGCATAGAATCCAAGAATGGTGCAGAACGGTAACAGTGTGACACAGCAAAACAATAACTTGACATAAACTGTCAATAATTCGGCTGCAGTCATTCCTGGCCTCCCATCCCCCTGGAAGGTCCAGAGTTGATGGGGCAAGCAAGTCATCCAGGGACTCCTCACCAAACCGAGGAAGATTCCAGGGTGCACAAATCTTACGTCATTCTGAGTCATTCTATGTGATTCTGCACCCATGGCATGCTTCCCACAGTGGAATTACTTCTCCAACGGCTGAACGGTGCTCCTTTCTCTGCAAGCTTTGCTGTGAGACCTGTTTTTCAGTAGTTCATGCATACTTTCCAGCTGTTGCCATGCAGAATCCTTTGAGCGTTTCTCGGCTCCTTTGATACTATTTTAATTTTTCTAGATTCTCCGCATATGGTGGCATGAGCAAAACTGCTTGAAAGGAGTGACTCGGTAATCCCTCGAAAAGCATCCGGTACAAACACGTAAAAACACTTGCCATCTTTTTCAGCAATTTATCCCGTTGGCAAGCGGTGCCAATGCCATGTGACAGCCTCGGGATTGTTGAGATGGCGCCAGCCTTTATCCCATTAATTGTCACGGCTAGGGAGAAAGTGCTCAAATGGTGGCCCGGCTCAATGTGCCAGCCATAATCCCCTTGACCCGAAAACAACACTTGTAGGTTACATGTTCATACATGTTTTTTCTACCCGCATTGCGTTACACAAACCGAACCCTAAACCTACGGCTATCCCAGCTGCCTCCTGTTCCCCTGGATGGGCTAAATCTTGTGGCTGGGCAGAGTTTTCAACCACCTGATCATGGTGTCAGACAGATTTGCCTTCGAAACATTCCCTGCAGCCCAAAAGAACTGCCAATCAGCAAGAAATTTGAGAGGCGTCCAACCCAAACCGATGCATCAACTAAAGGTTGCCACGCAAAATGCTCTAAACTTAAAAACCGCCACCAAACCAAAATGCAGTTCCTCAGGAAGAGATGTTGCAACCCATATAGACTCTTACAAGGCATGTTTGAACAACTCCTGTACGCAAAGAAAATCATGTTTTTCTTGCATCAAATCTTGGCAATGTTAACTTTCGCAATTCCCTGTACCTAAGGATTTAGCCTTTACCTAAGGATGCGGCTTTGGTAAAAATTGTTTTGAGGGATGAAAATGATGAAAACTACAAATTGTTTTGAGATTTCTCAAAAGGACATTGTTTTGCAATTCATTGTTGCGCATGGTGGGCCAGGAGGGCCGCAGTTAGTAACAATTCCGTTCGGAAACACAGGACATCACGTGTTTTGTCAAATTCAGTCATCCTGTCCTATCGGTCATAGATTTGATTGGTGATAAATTTGGTAGAACATTAGTCCACGGTCGTCTGGTTGACATGATGGTGTGAATGCTAACCATGACCATCGGCCGTAACCCGGAAGGTTGCTAACTTAACTTCCTTTGATAAATTACACTGCTTTTCTTTCAATTTTCAACATATATTTCTTGTAATTTGTGTTGTGTAATTTGTTCTGTTTTTATCTATTTTTTTCTCGTTTGTGTGTTTGCCGTTATCTTTTGATGTTATCTTTATTTTGGTCAGTTTTCTTCGGTAATATGTTTGTTTCTGTGTGTTTTTCAGTCCCAAACTCTAATTTTTTTGATTTTAGTTCATCTTATGTTCATCAATTTCCTTCTTCCTTGGATCCATCGAAATTTTGTTTTTGTCCCTTATTTCAGTCGAAGATCTTGGTTTCGGTGAAGGATTTTTGGCCCTGGTCGAACATCTTTAGTTCGGTGAATGTTTTTTTCCATGCTTCGATCGAAATTTATTATTTCGGTGGATCATGTGTTTTCCCCCTTTAGTTCGGTCGAACTTCCTTATTTTGATGAATTTATTGTTTTTCCTTCCTTACTTTCGTCGAAACTCCTTATTTCAGTGACTGATTTTTTTTTTTGGTCATTTTTGGTCGAAATTTCCAATTTCGGTGAATTGTTTTTTCCATGTGTATCCCCTCCTTATTTCAATGAACTGTTTTGGTCGAAATTCCTTGTTTCAGTCAATGAATTATGTTTTTTCGTCCTCGGTTCGGTCGAAACTATTTTCTCTTTCTTTCGCATCCTTATTTCGGTCAAAACTGTCCGTTCTTTCGGTGCATTTTTCTTTTCTCCGCTTATTCCCATCGAAATTTTGGGCAATTTTATGTCCTCCCCCTGATTCCCGTCGAAATTCCTTTTTTCGTTTTTTTTTTCCTTCCGCCTTTTTCGCGACAAAATTCCGTCCTGATCGGAAATATCATTTTTTCACCTCTTACTCCCGCCAAAATTCTGTTTTTTTCGGAGATTTATTGTTTCCCCGTCTTATTCAAGCCGAAATTCGATGAAATTCGTTTTTTTTTGGCGATTTATTTGTTTCCCTGCGTTCCCGTGGAATTTCCTTATTGTGGCGATTTATTTTTTTGCTGCCTTATTCTCATTTATTCGCGTCAAAACTCCTTATTTCGGTGATCTATTTGTTATTTTGTATTTTTCCACCCTTTCTTTTTTCCTTCAATTTTTGGGAAAAACGCCGAAATAATAAGAAATTTATAGAAATTTGGGCGGAAATAAGCCGGAAAAAATATCATCGCCGAAAGTGAATTTTGACAGGTAGCATTTTGTAGCAGTATATCATGTATCCGTCTTTGTCAACTTCATGTCTTGTAATTCATCCAACACTCTCCCCATAATACTAAACCGTCACCCCCCTCCCCCCGTACAGTCCCAGTAGTACCGCGCAAGGCGGTGGCGGAAGTTTCAAAAATAGGAAACTTATAGGAGAGGTTGGTTGTTGCGAATCACAGGTGGCAGGGCGAATCCACTGATGGACCGAAAGGTGGTTGGAGTTGTGATTTTTGGAGTGGTGGCAATGGTTGCAGCGGTCACCCCACCGCAACTGCTGGATGTAGTGTGGTGTAGTGCAGTTAAGTTGTAGTTGTAGGTGTAGTGGAGTTGTAGTTGTAAGTTATAGTTGCACTGTAGTGCAATTAGTGTAGTGTAGTTGCAGTTGCAGTTGTAGTTGTGGTGTGGTGTAATTAGCGCAGTGTATTGTAGTGTACTGTAGTGTTGTGTACCGTAGCGTGGTATAGTGTGGTATAGTCTAGTGTATTGTAATAAAGTAGTGTAGTTGTGGTTGTTGTATAATGTCGTGTGGTGCAGTGTAGTGGTAGTTGCAGTTGTAGTCTAATGTAATGTAATTAGTGTAGTGTGGTGTTGTGTAATGTAATTGTAGTTGCATGTGCATTTGTAGCTGTAATGTGCTGCAGTTTAATTAGTGTATTGTAGTGTAATGTAGGGTGGTGGTGGTGGTGGTGGTGGTAGTAGTAGTAGTAGTAGTCGCAGTAGCTGTTGTAGTACTTGTAGTGTAATTAGTGTAGTGTAATGTAGCGTAGTATATTTGTATTTGTAGTTGTAGTAGTAGTGTAGTGCAGTGGTACTTGTAGTTGTAGTTTCAGTTGTAATTGTCTATCTATCTATCTATCTATCTGTCTATCTGCAGGCTTGAAAACGAAGCTATTCTGCGAGGCTTCCTCAATTTTGAATTTGACAACATCAAAAACGGAGCAATTCTGCGAGACTTCCTTATTTTTTGAACTTGACCGGACCTCCTAACAGCTCTGATGAACATGTCTCTTGTACTGCCCCTGCCACGGAAAATTCATCTTTGCAGAGCCGCTTCAAATGTCCCACGCCTGCCATCGTTTTCGGACATGCTACAAAACCCTCACGTTTTGCTCACTTTTGACAAGGCGCACAATCCCTTGCGCCTGCCACGCTCCTCGGCGCTTCAACATCCAAAAGTGGTGTGTACATGTGGTGCTTTGTAGATTTTGACTTCGAAATGTGCTTCGCGCCACAACCGCGTGCACTTTTTCGACATCTCAACTTCCAAAAGTGGTCCGAACATGAAGTGTTTTGTACATTTTGACTTCGAAATGTGCTTCGCGCCACAACGGCGTGCACTTTTTCCACATCTCAACTTCTAAAAGTGCTCCGGAGCTGAGGTGCTGTGTACATTTTGACTTGGAAATGTGCTTCGCGCCACAACGGCGTGCAACTTTTAATCTCTCATCTGACCACATGGCTCCGCACCCGCCGCTTTAGCTAGCCTACTTTTCGACCCTCCGGAGCCACAAATCATTGGAAAAACACACTGTTTCGCGACTTTCCTACCTTTTCGCGCACCTGCATCTTCTTTCTTCGGAGACATTCTCTTTTTGATCTTCTTTCTTCTTCTCTTCTCTTCTCTTCTCTGACTCTTCCCATCTCTGCTTTTCATCTGTCCATATTGTCGGAAGTTTGACTTCTAAACTTCCTTCGAATAGTAATAATAAACACCTGCAAGATTTTGTAGTATTGAGGGGTATCTCGTATTTAGCTGCGAAACTTCTCCCCAAGTTGTGTTTGTGCGGCATCGCCGAAGTTGGCCAAAGATTGTGGGTTGATGTGTTGATGTGGTCCATCTTGGAAACCTGCAGTTTTGATCAATTTTGCAGCTGTTGAGACATGTGTATATTTGGAGACAATATGATGTCGAAGAATGTCAGAGTTTTGGATGAAGAGAGCAGCTTACACTGCAACATGGTCAAGTCCAGTTTGCACCTCTTCAGCCCTTCGAGCTTCTTCAGCTGGAGCTGCTTCCTGAGCCTCCCCTTCTTCACGAAGCCCCTCCTCTTCGAGAAGCCTCTCCTCTTCGGCTTGTCGGACTTCTGCCTGCAATCGGTGCAGGAAGCAATATAGGGGGTGAAACCCTCACATGACACCTTCATTTTGAAATTGTTTTCAAAAGAATCCAATTAAACATTCAATTGGCCAATCTGAATTTTCCCCAAATTGGACATGAACCCTAGTTTTTAGGGAGGGATTAGTGGACTTTGCACTACTTTGCTGCAAGATGCTGCCAGTCCCTCCATCACAAAATGCCATGGCCTCAACCAGATGTGCTTGTGCGGCATCACTGAAGTTGGCCAAAGCCTGTGGATTAATGTGTTGATGTGGTCCATCTTGGAAGTCTGCAAGTTTGTTCAGTCTTGCAGCTGTTGAGACATGTGTATATTTGGAGATAACATGATGTTGAAGAGTGTTAGGGTGTTCGACATCTGAAGGGAACAGCTTACACTGCAACATGGCCAAGTCCAGTTTGCACCTCTTCAGCCCTTGGAGCTTCTTGAGCTCGAGCTTCTGCTTCCTGAGTTTCCCCTTCTTCACGGAGCCCCTCCTCTTCGAGAAGCCTCTCCTCTTCGGCTTGTCGGACTTCTGCCTGCAAACGGTGCAGGAAGCAATATAGGGGGTGAAACCCTCACATGACAGCTTCATTTTGAAATTGTTTTCAAAAGAATCCAATTAAACATTCAATTGGCCAATCCGAATTTTCCCCACATTGGACATGAACCCTAGTTTTTGGATTTGGGATACTTTCAGTAACAGGGGGAGGGATTAGTGGACTTTGCACTACTTTGCTGCAAGATGCTGTCAGTCCCTCCATCACAAAATGCCATGGCCTCAACCAGATGTGCTTGTGCGGCATCACTGAAGTTGGCCAAATCCTGTGGATTAATGTGTTGATGTGGTCCATCTTGGAAGTCTGCAAGTTTGTTCAGTCTTGCAGCTGTTGAGACATGTGTATATTTGGAGATAACATGATGTTGAAGAGTGTTAGGGTGTTCGGCATCTGAAGGGAACAGCTTACACTGCAACATGGCCAAGTCCAGTTTGCACCTCTTCAGCCCTTGGAGCTTCTTGAGCTCGAGCTTCTGCTTCCTGAGTTTCCCCTTCTTCACGGAGCCCCTCCTCTTCGAGAAGCCTCTCCTCTTCGGCTTGTCGGACTTCTGCCTGCAGACGGTGCAGGAAGCAATATAGGGGGTGAAACCCTCAAATGGCCAAAAGCCATTGCGACACGCCAAAGGCAACAAACTCCCAGCATGTACAGCATTTTTTTTGCATCAGCTTCCATCATATTTCAACATGCCCAGATGATTCCAGATGTATCATTTTACATCCAGTATCTTGTTATATCTTGTTTGTGGCCCCACAGTCCACAGTTCTCTATTTGTCTGCAATTCTTGGCCACGCCTCTTCGGCTCTGACCTCAATTCTTGCATACGTGCTTGTAGAGTAGGCTTGCCACTCCAGGCCACACTGAACTGAACCTACTGAACTTGATATCTTATGATATGTACATAGGATGATACAGATGATGCAGTATGAAATGGCATGATATAGTGATGTACAATAGTATTCGGATATACTTGGCTGGGTAATGAAACAAGTGACGCATGAGGCGAAGAGGCTTGAGTCTCCCCACAATCGGTCCGGAATTGTTTGTTTGTTTCTTCGTGTTGGGGTTTATTTTTCCCCAAGCAGCGTGTCCACACTGAGGGGTTCTTACGCTAGGTGTAAAGGCCGGTGCTAGGTTTTGTTCCCAAGCAGCGTGTCCACACTGAGGGGTTCTTACGGATTTACGGTAAGAGTAAAGGCCGGTGCTTGATCAGGGTGCTCCAGCTGGGCTCGGGCATTTTTCCTGTAAATTTCTGCAAAAAGTGGCTCTTGTGAAATGTCCAAATGCATTTCGACTGCGCAGGCTCGCGCAAAGTCTGCGTCGCGCCCCTGGGCCCTGGCATTCTCCCGTAAATTCTCGCACAAAGTGGCTCTTGTGAAATACTGGTACCAAGTGCATTTCGAGTGCGCAGTCTCGCACAAAGTTTCTGGGCTCACTCTGGGCCTCCGCATGAAATTCCTACGCTTGGTTTCCATTCCTATTCACCCCGCTTCGCGTGGGGTGGCCGCCCACACCGCAGGTTTATTTCGGTCCGTGAGAGGGGCTAAGGGTGGTTTTCCCCCGTGGGGGCTCCCCAAGCTAAGAATTTTCACTTTCCCCCCCCGTGGGGGCTCCCCAAGCTAGGGAATTTTCACTTTTCCCCCCCTAGGGAATTTTCACTTTTCCCCCCCGTGGGGGCTCCCCAAGCTAGGGAATTTTCACTTTTCCCCCCCGTGGGGGCTCCCCAAGCTAGGGAATTTTCACTTTTCCCCCCCGTGGGGGCTCCCCAAGCTAGGGAATTTTCACTTTTCCCCCCCGTGGGGGCTCCCCAAGCTAGGGAATTTTCACTTTTCCCCCCCGTGGGGGCTTCCCAAGCTAGGGAATTTTCATTTTTCCCCGCCGTGACAGCTTCCCAAGCTATGGAATTTTCACTTTTCCCTCCCTTGGAGGCTCTCCAAGCTGCGGAATTTCAAATAGCTAGACAACGACGCCTAGATAGTCCCCCAAATCCCGTGTTCTTTGAATGTGTTTCCATGTTTTTGCAATGGTTTCCTTCAAAGCACGGTACTTTACACTTTTGTCGCCATAAAACCGGTCGAAAACATCATGTTCGACAATGCTTCCAATTCCCTTATCTCCCCAACCGTTGAAAATACCGCTATTTACAGTGTTTTCTTCAATTTTTCCATGTTCCAATGCCGGTAGCCAACTCCAACATATATATAAGAAATCCTTCCAAAACATTGTTTTTGACAGTGTTTTTCCAATGTTTCCAGTCAAACAGACGGTAATTTACACGTTTTTTGCCATAAAGGCAGTAAATCCTTCCAAAACATTGCTTTTGACAGTGTTTTTGTAATGTTTCCAGTCAAGCATACGGTAATTTACACGTTTTTTGCTATAACGTCAGTCCAAAACACTTGTTTTTGCAGTGTTTTCAATGCTCTGGCATCCAAAAACCCTGCAAAATCTTGCTATGTACAATGTTTTTTTCATTTTTGGCCGTTTTTCCATTGCCGGAAAGCTACCAAAATGACCCAAAATTCCATTTCAATACCCTCTTGCGCTCAGACACCCAAAAATCCTCGAAAAATGTCGAAAACACCACCGTATTCTGGTCTCGGTGCGAAACCGTTTTTGCCCCCCCCCCCAGCTAAAGCTGATATAGCGACTGCTATATTAACAAATGTCATTGAGCATTTAGTGTTGCTGTTGCCCCCCAATAAGCACGCCTTCACCGCCAAAGCGGTGTGGGCGGATTTGCACATTCTCTTTGCCATCATGAAATGTGTAGTGGTGATGTCTAGTCATAGCTTTCAGTTGCATTTCCTGAAATTTTATTTGTGCTGCTTAATTGGCTCAGCTGATTGTGTCCGTGAAACTGCTGTTGCGCGCTTGAATCATGTCGCCAGGTGGTGCTCAGAATGCATCACGGCCAAACAGAGGCCTGCCGACCATCCCCGTACTCTTGCAATGCCTTTTGTGGAATCTCTGCGGTTGTGCGAGATGTAGTGCTAAAGCATCCGGGGCATTTGATGCATCCGAGTCAGGGGTCTCGGTCCTGTGCCGGTTTGTTTCGTCTGTCTTGTCTTGTCTTCTGTCTATCTCGCACCGTCTTGTTTTGTCATCCGTCTGTTTTTTTGTGCACCGCCTTGTTTCGTTCGTTTTGCAGTGTACTGGACCTGGACATTGTCTCCAAATGACATTGTGGAGACCCTTACGTTAAGATCTTGAAGCCGCCCTGCATTCACGCTGCATGTGCTTGTATGATCTTGTATGAAGGTCTGGAGACTTCATCTTTATAAAATGTTCTTCCTTTTGATGTCTTCGCATCACCTTCTAGCCTCATCTCTTTTTCTTTCGTAGCTGATGTTGCTTGTATTTGAAAACATTGAATTCCCACTCCCCCGCACTGTTTGGGGTCTCTTGCCGGGATAATTTAAGCGTTAGAGTTAGGGTTTGTTTAAGATCTATTTAGGGTTGGTTTTAGGAATTATTTGGGTTTGGTTAAAAATCTATTTAGGGTTGGTGTGAAGTTTATTGAGGTTTGGTTTAGCATATATTTAGGGTTGGTTTAGGATCTATCTTGGGTGGGTTTAGGATTTATTTCGGATCAGTTTCAAATTATATAATTTCGAGAATGTTTCAGGTTTACTTAGAGTAGTGTTTTTTTTGGGTCTTTTGGTCTTTACTTAGGGTTTATGTATTATATATATGATGTGTCTTAGGGTAAACTCACAGTATGAGAAACAAAAGAAGAGCAAGGAAAGCAGAAGCAGGTAAGCAGAAAAGCAGGGAAAAGCAGAAAGCAAAGAAGCTGGGAAAGCAGAAAAGCAGGGGAAAGCACAAAAGCGGAGAAGCAGAGACTGGCAAAGAAACAGAAAAGCAGAAAAGCAGAAAACCAAAGAAACAGAGATGCAAAGAATCAGAAAAGCGGAGAAGCAAAGAAGCAGAAAAGCAGGAAAACGCAGAAAAGCAGGCCAGCAGGGAAAAGCGGAGAAGCCAAGAAGCTGGGAAAAGCAGAGAAGCTGGGAACCAGAAATCAAAAAATCCCAAAACGGAAAACAATTCCGAAAAAAATAGCATCACACAATTGTCAATCGACGAATCGTCATTATCAACTGCCCATCGTATCGCAGCCTGCTCTCATACGAGTCTGCTCAACTTGGCCCCGCACAACTTCTTCTATGGCAGAAGGCTCCTGATCTGTAATTGACATCGCGGAAACCTCCAGGAAAGCAGCTGGTTGAAACCAAGCACGACAAAGCCATCTCTGCACCCAACGAAAAAAATGCAGAACCCAGCCAAAATGTCACAAACTTGGAACTTCAGAGTTCCACGCATACACCACCCGTCTTGCATGATGTAGAATATGTAGAGTCAAGCAATGAGTCAAGTGCACTATGCTGATATTTCGGCACAATGTCCACTTGCCCAATTAATGTGGAATGCCACCTAGCATCATCTAAGATTTCAGTATTTCTCTGCACTTCTAAGTTGCACCATTTTGGCTTCTCAACAAACATGGGATCCTATCTTTGAAGTCTTGGCACGCGAGAGACTCTTGGACTATGCAATTGGGGAAGCCTTATTGTGGCCTGGTTGCTACTATCTAAAGGGAACCAAATGTACATCATATGTCACCAAGTTGCGTACAATTTGTACAATTTGTCGGACATGGGTAGCATTGTATTTGTGGCAGTATTTAATCGATACGACGGCGTTGAAGCTACTTCGCATTACTTTGCTGCAAGATGCTGTCAGTCCCTCCATCACAAAATGCCATGGCCTCAACCAGATGTGCTTGTGCGGCATCACTGAAGTTGGCCAAAGCCTGTGGATTAATGTGTTGATGTGGTTCGTCTTGGAAGTCTGCAATTTTGTTCAGTCTTGCAGCTGTTGAGACATGTGTATATTTGGAGATAACATGATGTTGAAGAGTGTTAGGGTGTTCGACATCTGAAGGGAACAGCTTACACTGCAACATGGCCAAGTTCCAGTTTGCACCTCTTCAGCCCTTCGAGCTTCTTCAGCTCGAGCTTCTGCTTCCCGAGCTTCCTCTTCTTCACGAAGCCTCTCCTCTTCGAGAAGCCTCTCCTCTTCGGCTCGTCGGACCTCTGCCTGCAGACGGTGCAGGAAGCAATCTAAGGGGTGAAACCCTGAAATGGCCAAAAGCCATTGCGACACGCCAAAAGCAACAAACTCCCAGCATGTGCAACAGTTTTTTTTGCATCAGCTTCTATCATTTCAACATGTCCAGATGATTCTAGATGTATCATTTTACATCCAGTATCTTCTATATATCTTGTTTGTGGCCCCACAGTCCACAGTTCTCTGTTTGTCTGCAATTCTTGGCCACGCCTCTTCGGCTCTGACCTCAATTCTTGCACACGTGCTTGCAGTATAGGCTTGCTATTCCAGGCCACAACGAACCTACTGAACTTGATATCTTGTGCTGATACATATGATACAGTATGAAATAGCATGAAACAGTGATGTACACAAGTATTCGGAGATAACTACTTACCTTACTTAGCTGGGTAGTGAAGCAAGTGGCACATGAGGCCAAGAGGCTTGGGCCTCCCCCTACAATTGTCAATCGACGAACCGTCATTATCAACTACCCATCGTATTACAGCCTGCTTTCATACGAGTCTGCTCACTTGGCCCCGCACAACTTCTTCTATGGCAGAGGACTCCTGATCTGCAACTGACATCGCGGAAACCTCCAGGAAAGCAGCTGGTTGAAACCAAGCACGACAAAGCCATATCTGCACCCAACAAAAAAATGCAGAACCCAGCCAAAATGTCACAAACTTGGAACTTCAGAGTTCCACGCATACACCACCCGTCTTGCATGATGTAGAGTCATCTGGCCTCTTGTTGTTCCCTTTCTGCCTCTGCTTTGGCACGCTGTGCTGCTTGTCCGGCAGCTTTCCGCGCCTTCCATTGCATGCTTGAGTGGGTTGAGTCATTCCGCACTGGAAGAGCACTCTCCAAAGGCATGGAGGACATCGCAGAGATGCAATTCGACGTCCATCTTGCGCATCTTGTCATTTGTATTCATTTGTGAATTTGTGCTGCTCCTGCATACTGACATGGACGTGCCACATCTCCAGCCTCCATGGCAGCGTACTCTGCAGGTCCCAAATATGCGCGGAGGCAGCTGTCAATCTGCAGCGGAATGGCGTTTCCATGACAGTTTACATAATGACGCAAAAAGCGTCAAGAAATAGCCAAATGATTTCAATCAAAGATTCTCTGTGTCATGCCTCTACAATGCTCCGCGTTTCTGAAAGATTCTGAATCTAGCCGATCTCTCTGATCTAGCCCATCAACTGTCATCAGTCATCAGATTTCATGTCCAGTGCCTCAGCCTGCATCTCTTGGATCCGTTCTAATAGAGTCTGCTGCTTGCCATATTTCCGGAAGTAGCGCCAGGCGTCAAAACTGGCAGCGGCAGCATGCATAAATGATTGGCTCATGTCGCTTCACAAGAACAGATGAGAGCATCATTAGCACAGCAGGTCCTTCGTGTTGCACGCGCACACACAGGGAGAGCAAAACAAGAACGAGAGGAAAAGTTCATGTGCATCAATCAATCATAACGTATAAGATATACAATATTATACAATCGTATATGCACACACAAACACACACCCTTGTGAGCGTTTTTTTCCCGAATACGTAGCAAGGGTTCACGTTTCACTTCGGGGGTTTGGGGGTTGAGGGTGTGTTCGCTGGACGTCGCGCCACCGTCGCACATCCGTGCGCAACCGTTCGCGTGAGGTCGCTATGGCCTTGCCTCTAGGGAGTGCTGCAAAAGTGGTCACTTTTGGAGGTTTCAAACGTTGCGTAACCTCGTTTCGGATGCAGACGTGGCACTTTGATAATGTGTCAAAAGTCGTTCTGCGTGACAGGTGCAATGCTTTTGCAAGATTTTAGACGATGAGTTGCATTTTTCAAGGCAGGCGCAGCACTTTGGAGACCTCCATCGTCATTTTGCGTGGCAGGCACAACACTTTAGACGTGTGGTGTTGCGTGTTTTTTGCGAATCGCATTGTCAGGCCTGCGTCAAGTGGTGACAACGTGCAAATTCCGTGGCAAACGTGGCATTTTGTGACATGTGATGAAAACTGATGGAAGACACGCGCGAAACATCGACGGTGAGTGATTTTGATGATTTTGATGTAGCTGATTCTGGGGTTCAAAAGCAAAACTCGTAGGAACGCATCGGTTTTGGAGCTACAAAGTGTGAAAATTTGAACAGGTCTCATACGAAATGCACGTTTTTGGCTTCGTGACATTCTCACGTGTCTGATAAAGTGCCGAAAGTATCCGAAAGTCGTTTTGTGTGACAGGCGCAATACTTTTGCAAGGTTTTCAGAAGATGAATTGAATTTTTGAAGGCAGGCGCAGCGCTTTGGCAACCTCCGTCATTTTGAGTGGCAGGCGCAGCACTTTAGACGCGACCCAAAAGCTCCCTTTGAGCCGCCTCCATCGTCATTTTGCGTGGCAGGGGCAGCACTTTAGACGTGTGTGTGTGTGTTCTTTGCGAATCCCATTGTCCCGGCTGCGGCAAGTGGTGACAACGTGCAAATTGCGTGGCACGCATGGGACATCGTGAAAGTTTACTTTCCACTTTACATTCCACACTCCACACTCTACACTTTACACTCCACACTCTACACTTTACACTCCACCCTTTAC